AAATTGAGATATTTTCTGGTATAGTTGTAGTTGGTATTAAAATATCATCAAAATAAATAAAAATTTTATTTAGATCAATAAGTTCTTTAAATATTTCGTGAATGTACCTCATAAATACAGAAGGAGAATTTTTAAGACCAAATGGCATCTTTAAAAATTCGTATTGAGCTACTGGGGTTACAAACGAAGTATATTTTATCGAATCGTGTTCAATATCAACGTGATAAAAAGCACTTTTAAGGTCCAGGGTTGTGAAATATTTTTGACCTTGTAATTGAATAATTTGATCTTCAATCAGGGGAATAGGAAAGTTATCTCTTACAGTAATTTTATTTAAAGCTCTAAAATCAGGACACAATCGATAATCATTAGTTTTCTTTTTAACTAGAACTATTGGAGAGCTGTACTCCGAAGTACTTTTTTGTATTACATTGTTTTCTAACATGTCGTTAATCAAATCTTGCACTATATTTTTTTCATAAAAAGATAAACGTCTAGGTTTAAAATAAAACGGAGTATGATTTGAATTAACTACTATTTTCATTTTAATTTTAGATTCTATTTTTTCAGGTCGCTCAGGTTGTATATAATCTTGAACAAAAAGATCAACTAATTTTTGACGATTTTTTGCATCAATTTCAGAATTTATATTTAAATCAACCTCATTTTGATCAATGTAATCAATTTGTAAGATTTCATTATTTTCCTGATTTTCCAATAAATTATCATTTAATACTGATTTTATTTTGACTTTTCCAGACTCAAAAATTAAAGAAATATTTTTATTTGTCATAAAATTTCTACCTAATAGACATTTAACAGGTATAGCATCATCTGGTACTATATAAAATAAAACTTGGACATCTATGCCTTCAACATATACTTTAAACATTATTGAACCTATAACATCTAATTTAGATTTATTAACACCCTCAAAATCTACAGATGGGGCTTCTGAGATTTCAAAATTAAATGGTCTGATTATGCTATTAGTAATAATAGAAATTACACTACCTGAATCAAGAGTACCTTCGATAAATAATTGTTTACTGTCTTTTACAAGACACAAAGGCAAGGTGAATCTATCAGGGAATTTGTTCTCGACCATCAATGCTTCTTTCTCTTCAACTTCTTTCTTGGATGTAGAGGCTCTTTCTCCTTTAATCTTTGGACAGTCTCTTATTTTATGTTCCATTGAGCCACAATTGAAACACGAACCCCTCACTCTAGGCATCTTTTTGCATTGCGACGCCAAATGTCCTAGCAAATTGCAATTGTAACACTTAATGGTTTTATTATTAACTTGATCTAAACTGGTAAATTTCTTCAGAGATGCTTCAATTGTCTTCTGTGGTTTTTTAATTTCATTTTTTCTTTCAGGCAATCTATTTTTCCTCGCAGTAACAATTCTCTCGTATGCTATAATGTCCTGGTATAATGCATCTTCATCTATATGGAATTTGGACATGACAAAATTACTTAATTCTCTGGACCATAATCCAATAGCTATCTGCTCTTCTTCTTCGAATGATAAACTTAACTCTTTGCATAATGATGCTTTGGAATGAAAATATACGCTTACATTTTCATTGACAGACTGTACCCTCTCTTGCATTCTTTTCCATAATTCGGTTTTATTCTTGGTAACACAAATGTTTTAATAAAAGCCATGCGGAAGGATGACCAATCTACAACTTCACTGCTTCGCCCTGAATACCAATGGCGTGCAGCACCAATCAGATTACTTTTGGCTGTTTGGAAAATAAACGCATCTGGCCAATTGTGAAGTGTTGCGGCAGTTTCCAACTGCTGTAACCATAACTTAGCTTTACTTGGCTCTTCTTCAGCACTGAATATTTCTATAGTTTTCGAGAGATCTGCCATTACGTTATAATTTCGAACTGGAGATTCTTGATTTGGCGCATGTAATGGCTGCTGCTGTTGTTTTTGTAGCATTTGCAACATCTGAGTATTTTGTTGCAATAAGGTTGTTATCGTATTCATAAATTGATTAATATTAGCATTACTGTTTGGATTTTCTTCAGCTCTATTTTGCACAAATCTTTCAAAACAAAATACGTAACTGAACGAAGTACAACAG